GTGAACTCTGTGAAACTATACAAGATGAACATTCTTACAAGGCAATCTGGACCTTCACAAATGACTCTGCCAAAAAGGATTGCACATGGACAGTCCCTTTGTGGGGACTCAGATATTGATACCAAACACTTTGGTATAACTTGTCCAGATAACCATTGGATTGGTTATCTGCAGAGCCCTGAGTGTGACACTGTTCTCAGACTGGAAAGCAGTCTAAGTGAAAAATGTGACATCTACTCTAAAAATGTCTTTTCCTTCATTGCCACACCAATGTAGGTAAAAGAACTCTACAAGCAATAATTCCCAAATAGCTCAATAGCCACAAAACTGAGAAGTGTCTTGAGTATTCAAGAGAGTGCTAGAAAGGTAGTTTGATAATTTAATAATAAAAAGGACAATCTTTTATGATTTAGTATATGCTATTAGTATTGGATTGCATTTTCCTGAGTGTTCAGAGACATTATTTTTTAAAATAATGACTTCTGAAAAGTCATCCTTGATATTTAGCCACAGTCACTCCAGCTCAAAATGAAAAGCCAAAATGCATTTAATTAAATATATCTTGGTCACATTATTCCTACAAAAGAAAAGACATTTCCACATTACTAATTACTTGGCAAAATTATAATTGGACTAAATTGGCATAATACTCTAAGAAAACTAGCCAGAGTAATAATCCAAACCTCAAAAGGTCAGTTTTAACACTGGATGCTGGTTATATATTAATAAAAGGGAATAAATCAAAGAACATATGTGTGACTTTGAACATTTCTAAAATTTAATATATTTTTAAATGCAGCCAAAAAAAAGCGGTTATTTATTTTCTCTGACATTGTTCCCTGACTTAAGTATGTCTTCCATAATTCCGAAGGCATAATAGTCAGTGATATATCAAAGGAACGCGGCCATTTCAGAAATGCTGCTTCCCGATTTTACAAGCCACAGCAATATTACTTAATAAGCAGAAGCTGACGTCTGCCAATGGTCCTACACTTGCCTGAGACAGAGAAATATATAGTACTTTACAAAGAACATTTGAATATTTACCATTTAATAGATCCTTCTAGACTGCTGAAAGAGAGATGAAAAAAAAAAAAACAATTGTACTTAACAATCCTTCATTGGGGAGACATTTTTAGTGCATAATATTTCAAAGATTGTTCAAAGATGAAAAAATGCTTTGTAAACAATATTTTAGTGTCTGCCATGGTGAAAATTTCATAGTGTTTTTTTATAGTCTACTTTCATTCTACTGAAATTCCATTATCTGCAATCATTTCAAAAATACAAGTAGTTAAGATCTTCCCTATAAACTTAAAGTCACCTTTAAATTTCTACACCAATTATACTTTCTCTGGAATCAAATAGTTCCCTATGTGCAAATTTACAGAATTTTAAAAATATGTATCAAGACAATAGATTTAAATCGATCTATAAAAATTATTCAGTGCAAGAAAATAACAAAAGATTACATGGACACAGGAGCCATAAATATACATTTGATTTGAAAAACTAGTTTATTAGAGTTAGTAACAAATTACAAGGCACAAATGTATAAGTCCCAGAAGGTTTATTTTTAACAATGGATGCAACTGAACCCCTAACTGTTGATCAGATTTTAGACTCTAGAATCAGGCTGCAATTAAGAGAATAAATGCTCCCAGGACACTTAGATGTTGTTTCCACTCTCTAGAACACTAGTTAAATGCATAAATAGTATAGACTAAGATTCTTGTTCTCAACAGAAAGTAAGAGTTAAGACATCTTGGGGAGGAAATGATAAAGTCACCAACTGTAGGTTAAGAACCCTGAGTAGGGAGAAAGGCTGAGTCCGGTAACCTTGGCTGGTGCCAACTTGAGAAAGCAATTTATAGTTGTTTCTTAGGTCAAAGCCAAGAAATAAGGTCCACATTGAAAACCAGACCAAGAGTTTAGTTGGGCCTGTGTGAGAGCCAACCTGCCACTCAGTGGTCAGGACTCGTAATAAAGGCTGGGGTAGAAATGAACTCCAATGATCATAGGGTCACTTCAAATAATAAAACAAGGCAACAATCTCATCACACTGTGATGCGATGATCAGTGATCCCCCAAATATTGTTCATATTAGCCATTCTGAACTTTACTGAGGCATAAAATCTTAATCTTAAAGATTATATAACATATCAAAAAAACTTTAATTATAAATGATATTCTTTGTTTATTCTTAGGCTTCAGATGTGATGTAAAACTTGGAAAAAAATATTTGTTTAGGATAGTAAGTTCAACATAGAGAAGATGATGTATCTCCTTAACCTCTGCTCTCTAGAAATTAGGAAGCAGGCCATTCAATTCAAGAAAAATTAAAGAGCAGAAAATATCTTAGGGGAGATATAGGATAATGGCCAAATTTGTTATTAATAATAAAGTAGATTTGAAGAAGAAAAATCAGTTTGTGGCAAAGTTTTTTTGTGGTTACTGTTCTTGTTCACTGGAATCAGTGATGATCTCAAGATGAACAAAACCTCAGGAGTTTTGAGAAACTGGAAAGAAACAAAGAGTTTTGCCATCAGCAAAAATGTGTGATTGCTCTTTAAAGGCTCAGTGTTGAGAGTTACTAAGAAAGAACATCACACAGGAGAAGACTGAACCTGACCCTTCAAGAAGGGATCAAGAATGTGTGCGCTCCCAGAGAGGACTGTGTCAAAGGACAAAGAAATTAGAAAGACAATTTGATCATTTTTACTTATTAATTTTCGATTCATTTTAAAAGAGCTTCAGAGGACTTTTTAACATAGCTACAAAAAATAATAAAATAGCTACAATACTAAAGCATAAAATTAATCAGTGAAAAAATCGAGAAAAAGAGAAAATAACCACTGAAAATTTAATAAAACTCTGATTAGGGCTGTACACAGCAAGACATAATATAAAGCCTTCTAAGGTTGCTCAAGCTGGGGAAGAAATTCAGCTCTCATTTTTTTCAGAATTCAAAGCAAAATGGAATGCAGGGACAGTGCGTTTGCTAATTCTTTCTCTTGTCCAGCCACCCTTCCTCAGGAAAACCCTAGAAGGAGCATTTCATCCTTGGGCGCCCCCATAGAGTGAACTAGGAGGGTTCTGTAGGGCAAATCCAGGTCATGGGAGAGCAAGCCAGAAAGAGCTAATATGGGCAGGCCTGGGGAACACCATTGCCTTCTGGCTCCACATTCAAATTGCAAGTCATAGAGTACGTGTCCTGGTGACTATGAATAAGGACACTGGCTGACAAGGTCCCAGCCCCACACCTCCCGTCCTTGTCAATCTGGCACCACCTACACTACAAGGCCGGGACGGTCCTTGTCTCCATCCCAATCTCTCGGCCTTTCCCTGTTTTCCTCACCATCAATCCTTTCTCCATCCCATCTTAGAGAACCCTCATCCCACCCTGACAGACCTGGCTAAGCGTCACCCTGTGCCTCTTTGCCTCAGAGAAACACAACTCTTACCCAACAGCACCAAGCCCTTATTCATTCTCCCGTGGCCACAGCCCGTGGATGGAATCCAGAGTTGCGCTCAGGCTTCTACAGACACTTCCTCCCAGACCATCAGTTTCTTATTTTACTGCATTATTTATTTTAATGTTATCGTCAGAACATTTTCCCATTTCATTTCATCACCAGAATGAACCGTGTAATCAATACTAAGGCGTCCATTTCAGTAGTTAACTGAAGGCCATTTTGCGTCTTGGGTATCGCATATCTCCTGCAGGCAGTATAATTTGTTTTCTTTATGAATGCTGAAATGAGAGCAAGATGTGACAGGAAATACTGCAAGATTACACGCAATTCCCTAAAGATACCATGATCTGTCTTGTCTCCATAACTATGCACATGCTCATTTTTCTAGAAAGCCTTCCCCAAACGTTTTTTTCTAAAAAACGTTCTTCCTTCATGACTAATCCACGGTTCTCCTCATGTCTGGTGCACACTCTAATCCACCTCAGCAAGCCCTCAGTCTTCTTTTGCGTCATTGCAGCACCTTATGTAAACACTAATGGACCCAAGTCCCTCACAGTCCTGATGACATGTTGTTTGCTATGGACTCCTTAGACGTTGCCCAGGGCAAATGGAGCCACGATAAGTATTTTTGTAATGAATCACCTTTTCTGAAATTGCAATCTTTGACCCTCAAAATAGGTTGAATGTTTTCAACAGGCAGTACCAAGCTGCACATAATCTACTTTGTTAAATTTAAACCAAAAAGTTGTGATTGCTTCAACAGTTGCCCATGTTCTTTGTATCAGGGTCATCTGAGACAAGAAGGTCACAAAATATGTAAAAAGCTGGTGGAATTTCTCTATAAGTGGTATTAATTCTCAAGATCTATGATATTCAACTTCTTAAAGAAGCAGCCCGAGCTGACGACATAGTATGGTCCAAAAAACAGCCCACATTCCAACACATGAAAGTTTCTGCTTCTAGATAGCAAAGCAGGAAGAACCTGAACTCACCTCCTCCAGGGGCCACCTCGGGTCTACTGCTACTTCTGGAACAATTTCCTCTGAAAAAGACCAGCTCACAAGCACTCCCTCTCCTCAGGGCCTCAGGCAGAAGTAACCACTGGAAGATCACCTGGACTTTATGTGAGAAGTTCATTTGCTCATCTTAAAGCAAGGACCTGACCCATGGGGGCCTGCTGGGTCACTCTTGTGAATGGAGACAGTCCGGCACCACCTTCGGACTCTCCCTCTGCAATACTGAGGCCTGTGGACACTGTGGGAGGAAACCATCTTCCTGCTGTCCTCTGCTGCACTCCGCACCAGCAGTGTCACAAGTCTGGTGCCCCTGGTATTGAGACTGCTGGTTTATGCTCCTGGGTCCCAGAGGACTGTCGCTAAAGAGTTCTTAAACAGTCACCGTCCTCAGGGCACAGGAAGGGGCAACAGATCAGGAATTCAGTCTTTCCGTGAAAGAGGCTTTTTAGCATTATCATGGCTGAGACTGAAGGGCAGCCTTCTAATTCAACAAACACCTAAGGATCACCTGTAATCCTTCCAGAGACCTTGGAGATGGGTGACTGTGAAGATGGGGATGTCTTCACACTCTCGCTCTGCCACACTCCAGAGTGATGCATCTCCTGGAGGGGAGATTTTATACATGCTCAGTGCCTGGGTATTATGACTGGTCCTGGAAGCCAGTGGTCTTGTGTTCCTGGGCCCCAGAGGACTGTGACAATTGGAGAGAGGGTTACAGGCAGGCTTCCTGGCCTAGGGCACTGCACAAAAAGCAGACTGGAAAACATCCTCAGTCTTTCTAAGAAAGAAACATATCTGCATGTCCAGGAGCTCTGCCTGAGGAGTGGGCTTAGGCTGATATGCATCTAAGGGCCCATGGCAGTGCTCAGGGAACGGGCAGGGGGACAACACCATCACAGTGCTGGCAGCAGCGTGTAGCACCAACCTCCCTGGGTTCTTTTGAGGCTGGATGAACGAACAAATTTTCATAGAGCCAAAGTTTAAGAATATGCATATGGAGAATTTACATGGCTATAAATTCTAAAGTAAAATGAGATGAAACAGGGATATATATCCTGTGCTAAGGTACCTGGGACATCAAGGAGAGAGGGTGACTTCACATGACAAAGAGGGAAGTCATGAATGTGTATCCTGCCTTAAGAGAGGTTTCACCAATAAAAAGCTTGTTTCTGGGGTTATCCCCAGATCTAAATAATCTGCATTCCTTAAGTAAGAGCAACAATTTTTCCCAAGGCCCACAGAGCTTCCATTACTTACAGTTCCCCACATCAAGGGTGACATTTATTGGAAAAGCCCATTCGGGCCATATTGAGAAAAGCCTATCTGACCCTTTTGGGGAGACCTGTCCCATGGCATTCTCCCTCCGCCTCAACATGGCTCATTGGTATCCCCGGAAAGGAGTCATAACACTAATCTGGGGTCCCAATTTTTGTGACTATTGCTCAAGGGATGCTTCCAGATCACCTGGCTCAGTAGTTATAGGACTGATGCTCGTCATTCCCACAAACCCTATATATTTGCACATCTTATTTTTTAAATATTTTTGAATACCATTGCATTATAATTTTATATAAATTTCATGTGCACACCATTATAAATCAAGGTCTGTGTATACTGCATTAAGTTCACCACTAAAAGTCTAATTCTCTCCTCCACCATATAATTAACACCTTTCAACCAATTTTCCACTCTTTATTCTCTCCCCTTCTGGAGACCACGTATAGTCTTATAGCCCAGTTAGCTATCATGGGGATATAATGCCCAGCATAGTTAGTGCAGTTGATAATATGTATTGCATATTTAAAAGTTCTTTTAGTAAATCTTAAAAGTTGTCATCACAAGAAGAAACAGTGGTACCACATATGGTGACTAGATGGTAAGTAGACATTATGGGGACTCTTTCCCAATGTATATAAATATTTATGAATATTTATGCTTTATAAAGCATTATGAACTCATGAAGCTAATATAATGTATATGTCAATTATACCTCAGTAAGAAAATAAAGCCTTAGAAACACAGTTGTTAATGAAAAATATTTGTGAGTAAAAATATTCTATGCACATAAATGCTGTATGTTCATGTACCACTGAGTAATTCTTTAGAAAATAGTATTTATCATCCTCTTTTCCTACAGAACTTAGTTCCAAGTTAGTACTAATTTTTGGTTTCATGAAATTTTAAAAGTAAAACAAATTTTCCTTATCTTGCAAAATGCAAAGAAATTTAGGTAGTTAGCTATAGGTAGATGGTTACTACAATCTGCACCATAAAAAGGCTGTACATGTATATGTTTAAAAGTATTTCCCATAACACACTTGCCTGTTTATTGCTTTGGAATTTTATTAGGAGAGTGAGCGACTGCTTAGCTGAATTTTGCTAATAGGAGATCTAGTCACCATCAGCACCATGCCTTCAAGTCAGAATCTTATTCTTAATATCCTTTAAAGACACAATAGGGCACCTTTTATTGATCCATTAATATATGACTCAGGTGTGTTGCAAAGCACGCAGACACCGCCTACGCATGAGCCAACAAGGTGTCATGCAGGTAGAGAAATGTGATCTGGACTGTCTTGGCCTAAATATAGCAGAAGAAGAATATTTCAAAAGTAATTTTTGTTCTTTTGTCTGGAGAGAAATATTCACCATATAAAGCAAGGAATACAAGGGGTACAGTGAAGAAAAGACACACGAGGACAGAAAGACATATTTAAAAATAAATACCAAAGCCTTTTAATTTTGACTTCTCATTTCCCAACTTCTTCTGTGGTTTTATCTGCTGTCACCCCCGTTGGTGTCAGCTCCCCACAGGAGACCTGGCTGCCTTCAAAATTTTCTTCACTTAAAAAGACTAGGTTGGGGGCTTACTGTGCTCTTGATTTAGTGTCAATTTAACATTGAAACAATCTTGAAAGAAACCCAGGTCCCCCGCAGGGAGCTGCTGGAGAACTGGCAAAAAGAATCAGAGAAGGAATTGTAAATGGCGGCCTCCCATCCCTCCAAGAGAGCTTCCCTGGCGCCTTCAACTTCATTAGAAAAGCCAATTTAGACTTTTAAAATGGCTCCCAATACCAACTTTTCTACCCTGGTGAATAGTGAGATCGACCTCTTTGTCAAGCACAGGAAGGGGTTAGAAATTATTCTGGAAGGCCCCGGCAGTGCCAGGCTCACCAGAGACCAGGCCCACGGGCCCAGGACCTTGTCCCTCGGATCCATCTTTAGAAAAGCATACCCAGAAGCTGTTTATGGCCAGCGACTGGTCTCTTTTTACTCTGTTGTTTCAAGTTCTGAATATAATTCTCAGTAATCAGAAAGATCCTGCCGGGGATGACCAACTGACCTGTGGGGCTTGACAGAGCTCAGAAGTCAGCGGGTGCCATCTGCTTAAATCCATCACGCGAGCAGACGCAGCTAAAAGCGCATCTCTGCCTCCGATTTTGTTCCCGTCTCATCCAAACATTACCTTTAAAGCAACTTTCACCACATTTTCTAGCAAACTCTAAAGCCCAGGGAAAAAGCTCTGAGGGAAATGACAGCCCTCAGAATGTGGGCTTGAATGTGATTTGGCAGCATTTTGAAAAAAAAAAAAAAGAGAGAGAGCCGTGGGTACAAAATGCTCAAAGGGCAGGTTTTCACTGTTCATTTTAGTTTCTCAGGATTCATAACACAACCAGTGCCACAAGGTCCACGGTTGCCAAGTAGATGCCACTAGAAACACTCTCCTTGATTGATACCGTGATACTCAGTATGAGCCTTTAACAGGGTCAAGCCGTGATGCACATTTATGCAGGGTGGGAAGACCACTGAAGAAAATGTCCAGGCAGGTACCCTGTGTCAGACTCATCAATGAGATCTCATCCACTGCAGACTCAGAAACAGCAAGCACACAGTCAGCATCCTGGTTGCCTGACTCAGAGACCCTCGGTGGCATTCTGTGACTACTGAGCGATCTGCACGCCTCTGGTTTCCCTCAAGAGAGAACGTAAGGTGGATACTTCTCAACAACAAAATCCCCAAACTTGACTTTGGATTCCCAAGATGCTTTGTTTATAACTTCCCGTTAGAACTACGTGGAAGTTCCACTCTAAGATATATTATGGGGAAACAAATGAATGAACAAAAGCAAACTTTTAGACTATAAAAACAAAATAGTGGTACCTGAAGGGAGAGGATCAGGTGTTATATGTCTCACTGTTATACTGACCCAGACTGATCAACAAATGGGTCTACTGAAATGATCAATTTAAAATGAAAGTGACCACTTGTTTATCAGACATTGATAAACAGACACATGAGGCAAGAATAAAATCCCAGCTGTGCCAAGAGCTCTAGACCCAAAATTAAACAGGGGACACTAATAATATCCCTTTGAAGCAGCTTAAATATAGAGCTGAAGTAAGTCAATGTGAGGCGTTTTAGACTCCATGCCCATGGGGTCTGAAGCCAGATTTTGGCAAAGGACTTCTGGGGGCTTTACCCAAAGGAACAACACACCCCACCCAATGAGCTGATGCCCAGAATGAAACTCTGCCGACTTATACTGGTGTCCTTAGCATCCTTTACTGCCAGCTGAATTGCGTGCTTGCATTATTATAAGGTGGATTCCTGCAGTAAGTCATACCGTAGTTTCATAGACAATTAGTTTGAGTTAAGAGTGACTGCTCTGAACACAGGTGGAAGTCAGCATGTTGCAATCTGAGCCACATATGACAGAAGGGAGAGGACAGAGCCAATAAAAGCGGTCAGTTGTGTGGTGATGGGTGGACTTTCGGTGGTGAACATGATGTAGTCCAGACAGACGCTGATTCCTAAGGTTGTACACCTGGAACTGTATCATGTTATATACCAGTGTTATTTCAGTAATAAATAAAGAACTATAAATAAGTAGACAAAATTTTTACAAAGAAATGTAAGAGAACCAGAAGGCTGGAGTTCCCTTCGGACCCTGTCACTCACACACTCAGGCAGACCCTCTGCCTCCCTGGGCCTCATTTCCTCCTCTGAAATGCAGGAATGTGTTAGTAAACTGAGTCCCCTTTTAAACTTAAAATATATGAAGAATTATCTGGGCTCTACAATGGATGAATTCTGAGTCTTTAGACAGAAAAGAAACCTTTTGGACCATATGAAATATCCTTTTTCCCACTGAAGACACCAGTTCAAAAGGCACAGGTGGGAGGTGACCAGGTGGGGTTCTCATCTGCTTATTTTAAATAAATTTCTAAAAACCAACCAAAAATACCGGAGGAGAAACAAATATTGAGGGCAAAACAATATAGGATGTTAATAGGGAGTATTCCTTTCACTGTTTTATATTGCCAACAAGATTTACAGTTCCAGGGTAAAATCTGCCATTGGATTAAATTACCTAATAGTCCTGAGATATAATATTTGCTTTTACCATATAAGGATACCAACTAAAGCCCCTCAGGAAAATCCTTCTCTTTATTAAGAGCAAAAATTTAAGAGGCAGTCATTTTCTTGTTTAAAAATTACATTTTAGGAGCCTCCCTGGTGGCGCAAGGGGTTAAGTCTCAGCACTATCAAGCTATCACCAAACACTGCAGCATTAGTTTAATCACCCCAAGGAGCTGACCCA